GTTATTTAACTTCTCTATTACTTTTTCTCATTTCTAAATTGAAGGAAATAATACTGTCACCTCACACTATGAAAATATATGTGAAATATTTAGCCCCACATCTGACATCTAGTAAGAGTTCAGTAAATATTAACCTGTTTGTTAGTACTAATAGTTGTTGTAGTATTCATTATTGCTATTGGATAAGCAGCTGAATCTCTTATTTCATACTATGCAGTAGTAGTTTCTGTCCCAGTTATTTCAAATGATCAGCTTACCCTAGTTTATGTGGGTATTCTGCCTTAAAATCTGAATCCCAAAATATTTGACATCATAGTTCTGTAAATTTGTCTTCTTCTATCACTTGTTACTGACGTAACTGTTATCCTAGGATATCAGATGACAAGTTACATTTTCTTAGACCCTCTGATTTCAGTTGCAGCTGAGAAGACAGATTCACGTGGAGGCGATCCACTTTCTTGTTCATGGTGCATCCCTCAGGTGACCATGGCTTGCCTTTGCTTATAGCCCTCAGTCTTCTTTTATGCTGAAAAGCATGGAAGGAGTCACTGTGCGTACATGTGTGGATATCTCAAAAGAGAGGTAGTCTAGAGAGATAGGAGTTTCTGGCCTTTTGATTGGACAATTCTTGGAGGTATTCTGTTCACATGTCCAGAAATCCCAGTAGAATCAAGCCATGTTCCTCACAGTGTCCACTTTGATCAGGCCCCTATATTTACACTGGTTCTGGTGATCAACAGGTGCATAAATTATGTATACATGGGCCTTTGATTGATCCTCTGCTTAAGGAAAATGCAAGTAAGAATGAATAATGTCCAAGATTCAAAACACGGAACACTCTGATTTGTTTTCTTCTCTCTGCTCTCTACATCTATGGTCTAATAAAAACCTCTAAGCTATTCCTCTATGATTCCTTATATTCTTTTTCTCTGCTTAAAATCATTTCAGTTTGGCAATAAGTACTACATAAGGAATGAAAAAAGAAAGATAAAAGAAATATGGTCTTTACCCTAGACATGCACCTGGTAAGCAACCTCATCTTTTGTTGTTTTAGGGTCAGGGAAGAATGAGGTAGAGTGTATTATTCTTCAAAATAATTATTTTATTTATTTATGCTTCTTTTCCTCTAGGAAGAGTATGCATCTTTGTTACACTGACATCACACTTAGTAATGTGTCCGTAATGCTCTTTGGTTGAAGAAATAGAAGCAACAGTTATTTTTGTTTGAATGAGAATATCCTGGTTTCTCTCTCCTTTCCCTCTTCTATGAGATTGGAAATGTCCCATCAGCCTGTTGGGTTCTAGATTAAAGAAGCTATGAGGCAAAGTTGACCAGTTATTGTTGACCAATAACAGACATATCAAAGAGATCGAGATACTCATTAAGAAACAAATACAAAATGTCTGTGAAGGAAGGGTAAAAGCCTGAACCAAAACAATTATAGTTGTGGATAAAGATAAAATGATGATGATGATTTTTAGTTGTATTTAGGAAATCAAGCTGACAGAACTTGTTAATTCCTTGAATATTGAATATAAGGATGACAATGCTCTAGTCTCTGGCCCATATTAAATCATATTTCAATTTGTCACATCCTTGTGATGAATTTTCCTATGTCTTTCTGTTTCTTTCTTGCCAATAGAGTAATTTTCCAATTGCACAATTTTGATTATGGTATTCCTTTTTTAAACAGTCTCCAAGACTCCGCATTGCTAAAGAATTAAGTTCTATTTCCTTAGCCTTAATTGTCTGCCATAATTATTTTTAATATTTATTTCCTGCTTTTCCAACAATTCTTTCCTTAAAGAAACTCAACTAGTTTTACTGTTCTTTCCACAATAGTGATTTTTAAGTTTCTAGTTAAATGCCTTGTTCCAGTCATTGTTTTCGCGTTAGCACTAGCTTATCTCTAGTTACTTTAAATTTTACTTATTTTAGTCAGGACAGACTATGTGGTAACATATGAGCCTAAAATATTTCAATGGCTTACAAATAAAAGCTTTATTAACCTCTTGAACTGCATGTTCATCCCAGGGTAGCTGTTCTCTTATTTAATAGCCCGGGGTGATGGAAAAACTTCTGTATGAAAAGGGTACAAACTTACATTTGTTCCTCAGGATTCTGCTTGAACACGATAATGTTCTTTCTAGCCATATTCTAAAGCAAGTCACACAACCAAGTCTAGAAAGGAGAAGTTCATCCCTCCTCTGAGATGAAACAGCAAAAATCTACTTGAAAACATAGCAATATAAGTTACCAGATCATCCCTTTAAATTTATTCCAAATCCCATTGATTTCATTAATCTGATCTCGTCCATCCATCTTCAAATGTTACTTCTTTTTCAACTCTTGCTACCAATTACTGATTATATAGCTTGTCTTATCATGTCCTCAGCAGGGGTCAATAGAGTTTTCTTAGAGGGACACAGCAAAGTTTCAGCTTCACGTCATAGGTCCCTGTGGCAAGTACTCAGCTCTACCGTCGTGGTGCAAAAGTAGTCATAGAAAATATGGGAAAAACGGGTGAAACTGTGCTCCCATAACAGTTTATTTTCAAAAGCAGGTGCTAGTCTGTCACAGTAGTTTGCAGTTGCCTTCCTTAGAGCAATGACTCTCAAACTTTGGGTGTGCATTAGGATTATCTATCTGAAGGGATGTTAAAACACAGATTTTTGGATGCCACTTTTGGTGTTTCCAATTCAATAGGACTAGTGAAGGGCTTGAGAATTTGCCTTTTCAGTAAGTTCCCACGTAAAGCTCTTGCTAATGGTCTGGAAATCACACAATGTGACTACAGAACAAAGACAATGTTCTTTATTTCGGTGACTTGTTATTTGTGATCCACAAATGAATTCAGATAAATGAATACATGTGATTATAGAATTAAGAAATAAAAACTGTTTATAATTATCATTTTGTTAGCACAGTCCTTTCTTCACAAAAGCCAGGTGACCACAGTTAACCAGAGAATGTCCTAAATAAAATTTTACTGGCTACATGAGTGAGTTACAATAAAGTTAGCTTTCACCTTTTTATAGCAACACAGCATACAGTTCTGTAAATATTACACTTTTCCATGGCTCCTTCACATGATGGACAGGTAACAAAATTGTTTTGTTTGTATAGTCTCCCCAAGCTATTTCAACTTGTCATGACACACAAAGCTTGGCTACGCCAAATTCATCAACCCATTTGTATTACTTCAGTGGAACAAAAAGATTTCAGAAAGACACATTAATTTTATTCTTACTCAACAGTGACAGTGAAAAGACATTCTTGTTTGTGCAGCTGTTTTAGCTACCAAGCCCGCTTGTAGTTATACATATTTTTAAAACTGCGGAGATTCTGTGCTCTTGATATTTTTTTTTTGAGATTTTTATATACTTAGATCAAATGATTATCCCCAATATTGCTGCATTCTTGACGTATGAATGATAAAGTGACTTAGATTCTTGGAGCGAAAATAAATGATTCCCATGAACTTGTGTAAGCAAATTTCAGTAACTCAGTACTTCAATAGTGAAATTGTTGGAGGAGGTCAATCAGAGGATGTGACCTTGGGTTGACACGCAAGCCAGACCCAGGCAATCAGAGGCTCCTTACCACCACCCCTGTGGTTGGAATGTGCATTAGGTACACTGTTCCCATATGAGAAGCCACTTCCAGGACTTGAGAGAGTCATGTGTTACTGAGAGCATCTGCACTATATACATGACTGAACCCCATCAAGAGCTCCACGTAAGCTTTTAAGATTCTAGAGAACAGGTGCTGAGATCTACTAGTCTTGTGGCGACCTAAGGCAAGCCTGGTATGTAAGTTCCCTTGCTTATTAAAACTGCCACCTATCAATCCGGAGTAGCCCGAATTTTTCTTTGGTCTCTCCTTGCCCTCAGTGTGTAGGGCCAGTAACGAATTTCACCCACAGGAACTCTTGAGGTTGTGAATCAACAGAAATTAAGAAAGATCACCATGCTTTGGACAAAGCATGCATGTGGTTTTGGAATTTGGAAAGAGGTAGTAGTACTGTTTCCATTATAAGATTTTTAAAATCATTGTAATATCCTCTACAGTTGCAAGCAATCACTAATAGATTCCCTAAGAGAAATTAATGTTAATTACAAAAATCTTACAATATATAAACAGGCAAAATGAAAGAAACTAGCCTACCCTATAGCCTGAACACATTTTAGTTCCTTATAAATCTGGACCGTGTTCAGTGGGCAGAGAAACAGGCCAATGGATTCGTGGAAATTTCTTGGCTAAGGCCACCCACCAACTAGTGGCTGATTCTCGTTCAGACAGCGTTTAGAGAAAGACGCAACAACATCCAGTTGAAATGGACTTTATTTTCCCGTTCTACCGGATAAAAGAAACAAGCTGCTGAGTGGCGTGAGAAGCGGGACCCAAGCCTTTGCCTCCCCGTTCTCTGCTTTTTCAAGTCCTCAAGCCTTTAAATAGCCAAGCTCCAGGTGCAAAGCAACCCAGGTGCTCTCCCTTTCCCGGTGCCCCACGCTTCCCGCTCTACGAAGCTCCTTTAATGAGTGTCCTGAGAGCTATGGAGCCTTCGCGTTCATTCACAGCATTATACGATGAACGCTAGGGGGGAAAAAGAACAAACAAGATACATTTCAAATACAGGATTCAATTACTTTTCACAACTCGGCGATGTGTCAAAGGCACGCTGTGTTTTGTTTTGAGGGCGGGGAGATGACTGGGAGGGAATCCTGGGCCCCCATTGGCTGGCCGCTCGCCGCTGCAGTTGAGCTCCAGCCGCTCCGCGAGCATCATTGATCTGAAGGGTAAACGTGGAGGGAGCCACGGAGAGGGGTCCAGGCGTTTCTGAGCAGAGAGGCAGACCTCTTCCAGGAAGAAAGTGGTGTCCGCTGGCTGCCCGGCTTGGAGAATCTTCTGTGAATGAAAGGGGACAAAATGCAAGGCAGTTTGTTGCTACAGTGATTTAGAAGGAAAAAAGAGAGAGAGAGAGAGAGAGAGAGAGAGAGAAAAGGAGAGAGGGAGAGAGAAAAGGGTCTCACCTTCGGTTCAAGGCTGGGTTGTTGCCTCCCGCCGCTGCTGTTTCTGCTTCTGCTCCTGCAGCTGCCGGTTCTGTCATCAGGTAATGCTCCCCCCCCCCACCCCCACCACCTTGTTCTTCCTTCCCCTTTAACTGGGATTGCACCGTGTGTGATCGCTTCAGGATATACGCACAGAAATTCATACATGATTAATAAAGTGTTGCCTAGCGTAGTCAGAAGCTGAACGAGGCTGCGCACAGATCTGGCATCTGAATTAGGAACTGGTGCGTGGTTTTGCTTTGGGAAACTTCAGTAAGTTCTAAACAAGTCTCTAGTCTTCAGATCCAAAGGTTACATTGAAAGGGGAGGGAAAGGAATGTGTTAACCACTTATGTACCTTACTTAGCATGGCTGACTTTTCAAACGAAAATAATTAGGTATGGTAGGTGTTCAACTGGTTATTTTAGAAATGGCTTTATTGATCTATTTTGATGACAAAATAATGCTTTATTTTCAAAAAGCTTCTGTAAATACCCATCTCCACTGCTTTTTGTTAAAATACAGGAACATCCCTACATCCTTCTCCACTGGTATTTATTAAGGTGTGTGTATTTAAAAACTTCATTCCTCACTAAAGAAAACTAGAGAGCAATTTAAATGCTTTGATAGCCAGTCTCTCCTGTACAGCTGCGTTTCCTACCTCAAAAGTAATTTGAGACAAGTGAAAGAGATGCAGATTACCAGATCTGCTGTGGGTTATATAATATGTATTTTTAAAATATCTTAAAGGTATTAATCATCTGGTGGTATGTTGAAAGAGTGAGACATATCTGTAATACAGAACACACCAGCGAATCTTTTTTCAGAGACCTTTGGTATTTTATAAATATTTTCTCCCCTTTAAACATCATTCTTTCTACATGGAAATCACAGTGGCTTCAGAACCTCTGTGGTTCGGAGTGCTTGACGTCTCATAGACATATTTCTCTGTACTCTCTGGAGTGAGAACTGACATACTTTTGGGTGATTCTGTGACCATTTCATGGTTCCAGTTTCTCATCAGGTATTTTGAAACTCATTCACAGACTGCTCAGCTGGAAAATTGCCTTACAGAGTGAGGGGGGGACATTGAAACGAGAAGGTTCTGAAAATGTGTTTACAGCTTTCAATTACCCCTATACAGGACCAAAACATGAAAATCCAATCATGCCAAGCAGGTTATCAGTTAGCTTGGTCTTTTCAGCATCCTTGATTGGCTTTCAGGTTTATAAAATGCAGATGCACAGCTATCCAGAAATATTGAACCTCCTTATTCAGTGACATCATTTACTCATTAAGTTATCCTAAGCAATTTGAGAATCACTTTAATTTATGGGTCTTCATTATTATTTCTAGGAAGGAAATGAACTGAATAGGTTTTTCTTATAAAGATTTGCATGATTCCAGCCGTAGGTCTCTTCTGAATTGAAAGGCATATGGTTACTCTTCCCAAGCCATGAGCAGTTGATTGACAGATTGTTTCAGAACGCTCAAGAGCTCAGCCACACACACAACAGAATGTTCCACTTAACTAATTTAACTAACCTGTACTTTACCTTGTTCAGTGATGAGATCTAGGGACAGTTCCTCTACTGGCTATAGAAATTGCTGTAGCAAAATCAGGTTTCACGTTAACTTGGAACTCCAATTCCAGAATATGTTTTCTCCTTTATTAATAGCTCTCACTTCAAAGGCTAACTTACTAGTTTAACCCTGGAGTAGCTTAGCACCTTCCAATAAAAAAAAAAAAAATCACATTTTCTTTTCTGTTGTGTTCAGCAAATATCCTGTTCAGCAAATATCCAGTTTCTGGATTCTTAACTTCTACTGCTGTGTACCATTTTCAAGCAGTAGGGGGTAGTTTTCAAGCCAAGAATGCTTTTTTTTTTTTTTTCCTACTGGACCTGATTCCTTCCAATGATCTGCTTAGTGATGTGATCATTTTAGATAATCCCTACAAAAACAGAGAGGTGAATTATAATGGGAAGGAACCGTCATTTGTTTTACATGTGGGATAATACATAGCAAGTTCTTATCACAGCAAAAACAGTGCTTAGCTTATAGAAAAAATAAATTCCTGCTAATGCTTCACATGACACACTTACATCTCAATATGACTGCATCCTTTAAGGATGGAGCAAAAACTCATCTCCTTAGGTAGATGATATTTTGGATCTGGTATTTTCACAGAACATACTTCATGTAATAGACTGTGATATTGATTGAAATCAATCTTTTCTCATTTTGTGGTTAATATCTGTCACTCTTACCTCTTAGAATGTATTGTGATGAACATCAGATCACTCTTGCTGATGAAATAGTACTGCAAATATTCTGCTGAAACTGTTCTTACATGCAATGTGAAATATTACTGTGTTTTCACACCTATGCCATTTAGATGTCATATCATTAAATCTGCCTAACAGTTGTGATAGGAAGATGCATACAGTGATGGTTCTCTTCAGAAGTGAGCCATGTTTTCATGTAAAAATATCAAATCTAAGGTCTGTGTAATAAAATGACTTAAGTAGACTGTTATTAATGTCTTCATACATCCAAAGGAAAAGTGTGATCACAGATGTCTAATTTAAAGTAAGAAATCATTTCTTTAGTCTCTTAACAAAGCTCTTTTTAAATTATGTCCTGTATTACCATGTCAGTGTTACCACATCAAAATATAGTATTTATGTCAACTCATGATTTCTATATTTATATAAATATTTATATTTGTAATATATTTTATATTAAACTGTAGGTAGAAATTATTATATCTTGTTTAACAAATACTGTTTTATTTTTATGAATTGGTTCAATTTATATCAAGAAAAATCAAATAAATAAGGAATGGAGATTTATGATTTTACCAGGAACTTTCCTTTCACTTTACTAAAACATGATAATTGAGCAATTCATACTCTTAGGGCTTTTAAAAGCATTTTAACTTTTGGCTTTAAGGTAATTGAATTTTTTTCTGAATTATTATGCTAAAAGGGTGATATATCATTACAAAACGTTGAAAGGAGAGTGCATATGGGCACACACATGTGTGTGTGTATTTATTTGTGATTGTGAATAATTCCACCTGTGTTGAATATCAATAGTGGTTACCCAAAGTTATTTTTAAGCATCACATGCTGAGATGACTAATAATTTGCAGTAAGTAACATTTTTAGAAAAGACTGAGTGAAAATTATGACTACTGTAAAACTGAATAACAGATGAACTTCACATAGTGTTATTCTGCTTTTTGTATGATCCTGGTTAATGTTCTAAGAATTCACTTATTCAATTATTGATTATCACTTAATTTAATAAGCATTTGCTAAACTATTGGAAATAAGCGCTATATTTACTATTTTTGTAAATTTAGCTTTATTCAGGTTTGTATCACTTTATTATATTATAGCTCATGTTTTTAAGGGATAAATTAAATCTTCAGTATGCTTCAGTTATTTTTTTCACTAAAAGGTTATGATTTTCTTACATAGCCCTTGCTCTGTGAAAATCATCTAAGTCACTACTCTATAAGGGATGTGCTATTTGAACAATAAAATTCTTCTTAAAATATGTATTCTCGTGCATATAGGTATGAAGATTCTGGTGAGAGAAGGTGAGGTACCAATTTGTGCACAGATACCCAATAGAGAAAGACAGGACTCACGTATCAAGTCCTAAATCTACATGTTCGGATAGCTGAATGATGCATACTTAGTTCCAAGTACCAAAGAAATAAACATTAGGGCTTAGGACTTATCCACAAAGTAGGATGCTAGTTATAAGCATGATTGATTATGCCAGAAGTATACTAGGTACTTAATAAGTTCTGTCACTTCTATTAGCTAGAAAATTATTATAATATGCAAAAAATGTTTTTCTCCATGTAAAGATGAGAGTCTTGATTCATTATCTGCCTGATGATGGGGGAAAATCAAAACTTGGGAGTTAGATAATGGTATGAATCCAGATTTTAAGAATTATTCTGTGGGTACTTTGGGGTATGTTACTTAGCTTTTTGATCCTTGGTTTCTTCTCTTGATTTAGTATAATATTACCACATAGACAAACGCTCACTAACAGGTCTTTCTCTTCTGAAATTTCCATGACCATAGCACTAGATTTGTAGAGATTAACCACAACCAGAGCTGCCTCCTCTTAAATGAAATCATGGAGAAGCCGGTATTTGTTATACGCTGTAATTTACTTGTCATGTTGGGATGGAAGTGTTCCTCAGGTCACTTATTTGAAAATAATTCCACTTATTATTGGCAAGAATGCTTTTAATTAATAAGCATGGATGTTTCTGGTAGTTTAAATGTCCAGTGAAGTTTCAGTTGTGATGAAACTGTTACCACCATATTTCAAGAGGTTTAGAAGTCAATCAAAGAGGAGAATAGGAGATCACTAAATAGAAAGAATGGAGTCAAGGGAAGTTTATGGGATTATATTCTTTTTATAGAGATTTGAGCATGTGAATAGATGAGATTGAAATCATTAGACAAAAGAAAATGAATGATGAATCAAGATCTTAGAGTGTGGGAGGAGGTCATCAGAAGGCTGTGACCTTCTGTTGATGTTTGAGCTGGACCCTGGCAATCAGAGACTCCTTATCTTTTCCCCAGTCTTTGCAATGTGATTTCTGCCCACCATTCTCACACTAGGGGCTGTTTCAAGGGAATAAATTTGAGAAAGTAGGGTGTTGCTGAGACCACTGACCTGAACATTTGACTGAATCCCATTAAGGCCAATATATAAACTTTGAAGATTCTGGAAGGAAGATGTGGAGATCAGCTCATTTTGTGGGCACCCACAACAAGTCTGGTACATAGGTTCCTTTACTTGTTAAATCTGCCACCTACCAATCTGTCTGTCTTTGCCCTCCATGTTTAGGAATTTCAAACCTTACCTGGAATGCTCCTGAGTTTTTGAAACAATTGAGAGAAGATTACAATTTAAAATATCCAGGGTTAAAAAAAATAATAATAAATAAATAAAATAAAATAAAATAAAATATCCAGGGCATAGGTGGAAGACACAATTAGAAGACATCATTAATTTTAATAAT